ATCTCCGGCCTCGTCGTCATCACCCCCGGCGCCGGCTTCGTCACCCCCTGGGGCGCCCTCATCATGGGCGTTGTCGGCGGCATCGTGTGCAACTTCGCCACCAAGCTCAAGTTCCTCATCGGCATCGACGATGCCCTCGATATCTTCGCCGTCCACGGAATTGGCGGCATGGTCGGTAACATCTGCACCGGCGTCTTCGCTGCGTAAGCCTCTCCTAAACTCCCTCAACAACTCTCCACGTTCCACCTTACTGACAGATACCCCCCAGCTCCTGGATCGCCGGCCTCGACGGCACCAGCCCAGACCCCCTCGGCTGGATCGAGCACCACTGGGTCCAGATGGGCTACCAGCTCGCCGGCACCTGCGCCGCCTTCGCCTGGTCCTTCGGCCTGACCTGCCTCATCCTCTTCCTCATCAACCTCGTCCCCGGCCTCTCCCTCCGCGCCTCCCCCGACGACGAGGAGCTCGGCATGGACGACGTCCAGCTCGGCGAGTTCGCCTACGACTACGTCGAGGTCACCCGCCACCTCACCGACACCGCCAGCAGCACCAACGGCGTCGAGACCAAGTCGGAGTAAGTCTCCTAGAGAGCTTAAAACCGTGCATATATATCTCAAAGTTCGCGCACATTTTATTATATAAAGTACATTTTAAATGCACATGGAAAGGGGTAGTAGTCCCGTTGAACGTAATGCGTGTCCTTCTCCGAGAGGAAGGACGGAGTGATTTCTTTGATACCAAATTCTTTTTTAAACAGTTACTCTCTCTCCAAGGTCCCTGAAGAACAATGGACGATATGATGGGAATGATACAATCGCTTCTTAATTCAAATTAAATATAAAAATCATCATCTTAATACCACGGGATCGCAACACCTTGACGCATTTGTGAAACTTGCACGAACTGCAGGAGCTACTACTTGTGAAGACAACCAGCGTGAGGTAATCATGAAGCAATAGTAATATTCATTCGTTAGGGAAATACCAACTTCGTTCTCGGCTCGAGAAGCTATTAAAATTTATTGCACTCGCGCGCCAGGCTTGTAAGGAAGCCGGTTGCCTCTACCGACGGTCAACCGCCTGGTCTTAGTCCTCCCCCCGAAGAAGTGTGTGCCCACAATGACTTTGGACAGGAAAGCAACAAGAAACGCTCATCATATGCCTGCCATGAAAGTAATCCATCACTCGTCGCCATAAGGTCTCGCATAACATGACCCTGCCCTCTTGCGCCGTAGTATTGGAAAATGCTCAAAGGTGAGTAGATTCCAGTCAAGCCAATCCAGCCCTGTTGACAGTAAGAAAAAGCTCATATTCAGTCCACCTGTTCGCCTATCCCCCGCCGTTACCACCGTGTATGCGTATAATAATGGCTTTGTGCCCATGCCTTGGAAACTCAAACCCGCGAAATCGTCGTCAACAGCCGGGTGACTTGTTGCGGTAGGCTCATCAAATCATCTAAATCTCTGGTTCGTCGTACTATAACGCTTCGACATATTCATGAGACCGTGGGACAGCGCAGATGAGACAAACACTGTCTGTATCTATCATGTGTCCCCGGTCCGTTCTACATCCAAACTGTCCAGTACACTGAACTCTAATCAGCAGCCATATCTTCATCCTCTGCCCTATTTTGAGCCGGAGACTGGCCATGCATAGGTGCTGTACTCGCCCCTCCGTTTGGTGTGATGTTCCGGTTCGAGGGTTCTCCTTCTCTTTGGCTTCGCACGTTTGCCACGCTGGCTTGCGTCGATCCATAGGCGGTAAGAGGAGGCGATCCAACTGCCTGTTGGCTATTCAGAAAGCTTGAAAATGCTTGGGGCCTAGGCTGGTCCTCATTGGCAGGATCTCCACTACCAGAACCAGCCACGCCAGCATGGTCTGGTTGGGCGTGAGGCAGGGGTAGTGGTGGTGGTGGCAACGCAATCACGCCCTCGTTTTCGTTGAACTCGTCGGCAGTAATCATTGGTGCTGTATGCAACTCAACAACCATTTCGGTAGTATCCAAGCCTTCGAAGTCGTTGTCATCGTCTGCAAGGTCCTCATCAAACGTCTCGCCTTCAGGCCGCGCGCCATTTAGCGTGACATTTCGCCGCACCCGGGTTCGGAGTCGGTCTGCTACAGGCTGCAAGCTGTTTCGAAGTTCCTCAAACTGAGGGGCCGTGTTAAGAAAACGGCGGAAGTCTGATACCATGTTACCGGAGAATACACAGAAAACGTTGCGTTGATGCTGGGTGAATTCTGCCGTCCGAGTCAGCTACATATATTCCTAGAAATGTTCTTCAAAGATGAGACCTACCCTGAGGAGCTGGTCTGCAAAAAGGCTGGAATTCATCGCGCTGAAATGCGGCAACGCCAGTCAAGCTCAGATGTGTTAACCTAGGGCAGGAGTTGAGCAACCGAATGATGCTCTGGAGAAAACGAAACAGTCAGCTTGGATACGGAAAAGATGAGATGAGACAGGCCAGATAATAATACCTTGAGGGTCAAGTTTACACAATAGCTGAGGTGCACACGCTCCAGACTTGGTGTGTAGTACTCGCCATGAACCAGCACCCCGTTGGCATCTCGGCGTAGGACAGGTCGATAGGCAGCCCCAGCTAGAGCATTCACAGAATCGTCCGTGATCGAGTTGCATTTCACCAAGCCGATTCTTTTGAGCTTAGGAAGCAAAGCAAGGCGTTTCACCGAGTCGTCAGTGAGACGAGTACAGCAACCCAGATCAATATAACGAATCCGGTTGCATTTGTGCGCTAATCGCTTGACTCCCTCGTCCGTGATCAAACCACAGTGGCCAAGATGAATGTAGTGAAGGTTCTTGCCCAATTTCGCGATCGCAAACACGGCTTCGTCGGTAATCAGACGACACTTTGCCAAGATTAGATTGCGAAGTCGTGGAGCAGCATCAATAATCTTCGACACTGCGTGGTCCGTAAGACGCAGACACGATGTAAGGTCAAGAATTCGCAGGTGCTCAAATACGCGGTCCTTTGGCAGATAATGGAACGCATTGTCGTCAATCATTTCGCAGTTGGCCAGCCGCAATTCTCGGAGACAGTTGCCATGAGTCAAGAGGGACGTGACTGGGCTGTTCCCGATGGCCGCACACTGCTGCAAATCGATCTCGAGAATGTTGGGACAGTTGGCAGCAAATGCAAGTATGGCATCATCGCGAAGCTGAGTGCACTCGTTCAATTTGAGCTGTTGATTTTCACAAGTTAACAAATAAACTCACACAAAGACACTGTCCAAACATACCCTTTTGATGTACTTGCAATTCTTTGCAAGGTTGATCATGCTTTCATTTGAAATATTTGTGCAACCAGAGACGTTGAGGCCCTGAAGGCGCTTGCAATTTTCGGCAATGGCATTTATGGACTCCTCGGTGATGTGGGTGTCACTCGAGATGTCAAGGGCGAGGAGAGCTGAGCTGTTTTGGACCAAAGCAATCAGGCCGGAATCGGTCAAATTCCGGCAGGCTGTGAGAGTCAGGCGCTCAACACGGGTACAAACAGCCAGAGGAAGAACGCTGCCATCGTTGACTTTATCTGCGAGAGCCGCAAGGTTGAGACGCTTAACGAAATCGGCGTAGTTGAAGAAGGGCTTTTCGAAGCTGAGGGTTTGGCAAATGCTGTTGTGATTCTTCCAATTTGTGCATGCAGGGCGGTGCCATAAAATATCGACAGCGTTTCTAGCCCAGCGCTTACAGACACGCATACACGAGAACAAATCGTTTGGTGAGGTCAGCTTGGCAAAAATGCTGATGAGAATCTCATTCGGCAGTTGGTTTACGGGCGGCCAACACGAATCATCAACAGCCATGTCCTGGAAATTGTGAACGCCTATGGATGACTCTGAGTCGTTGTTATTGAGGAAGAAGTCGGATTCCTCGTTATCGGCAGGGACGGGGGAGTTGGTTGTGGAGGAGGTCGAGCGAGAATCGTCCTGTTCTTCCGAGGCAGACATCGGCCGCGACGCCTGGCCAGCCTCAACCGACGAGAGGGTGGCTGCGGAGGGCTGCATGGCTACGGCGGCAGGGGTTGGTCAGGATGGCAGCCAAAATCAGGTATGTGTCGGATACTCGCTCTGTAGAGTCTGTAGAGGTGCAGATGTGTGCGATGCGTTGCCGTGGTTGTTGATTGCCAGCTTCGTATGGCTGGGTGCGAGAGGTTTTGATGATGCTTGGGCTGCTACCGGTGGGGTTTTTCCTCATGCCAAAGGCAGACTCTGCTTGCTCAGCGTCATCGGACCGCGACCTGACCACCGGAAGAGGCGAAAGGAGGAGGGACGTGAGGATCGTCGAGTGCCCGTGACGATCTCAGAGAGGAATCGAACGCCAGCGGGAGGTTGGATAGGATACGGGGTCGGACGGGATGATTGGCAACCGAGCTTCGATGTGTTGGGGCGTGACGATGGTGGATGGATGGGATGGGAGGTCCAGGATCACAGGGCTACGAGGTGGGTAAAAGGCGGGAGGGACGTAGGATGTACCGCCTACACAAATGGCCTGCCAATTAGGCGTGGCTGAGGAGGTACTCGGGTCGCTTGTGACTTAGTCACCACTGGCGCCCGGTGTTTCCTGGCTAGCTGCTTTGTAACCGCGGTGCATTAGCAGTCACAGCACCGCTAGCTTGTGCCTGGCAAGATTTCATGCTGTGCCACCTCTTTAGTCTTAGCGCCCTCGCCGCTCTTGCTCAGGCGCGATCTCACTCAGATGACTTGAGGTACACGCCCGAGTTAGGCAGAGGGTTGTGCCCAATTGATGGAAATGCACCTCTTTACATAAGGAAGAAGGGTAACATAGCTGAACCAGCTGTAATTAGAAGGAATAGTCATCTTTACGGCCAGACGCCCCCAGAAGGAGGGGTCAGTAAACACAACACAATATTCTCCCACTTGCAGCATAGCCTGTTTCAACAACGGGAGGCTGCTTCTTTTCTTCCCATCACGGTTCAAACCTTGGAGGAAGATGGTTCTTTTACCCTCCCGGGTTTGAATTCCATCATGGTCCCCGAAGTTTTCAGCGTGGTTGGCCTCGCGTCCAATATTCTTCAATTTGTCGACTTCACTAGCCAGCTAATCGGTGATGGCAACAAGATCTACCACAGCGAGGAGGGAAGCTCCACGGAAACCATCCAGATTCAGCAGATCACAAGGGACCTTCGCAAGGTCGCAGACAATTTGCTTACTCGCCACAAGTACCCAACAGATACCGATAGCCAGGTCACAGAGCTTGCGCGTTTGTGCCACGCTGTTGCTGAGCAGCTCCTCGAGGTCCTCCAGACTCTGAAAATAAAGAATGATACCCGTCGGAGATGGCGGAGCTTCTACCAGGCACTAAACACGGTATGGAAAAAGGAGAAGATCGAGGCGCTTCAAGCGACTCTAAATAACTTTCGAGCTCAGCTCACTCTTCGCATCATCAATATGGTAGCGTAAGTCGACCTCACAGGACATGAAGATATTTGCACCCTCATATTTGAGTTCGTTGCTCACTGGTTGCAATGCAGGGACAAGCAATCCAGTGTCGCCATGGGTCTTCATGCGCTGGTCAAATCAAGCGAGAGCATGAACCTAGACATTACCGAGAAGCTGGAAGAAATGCATGATACTATTAAACGCATCCAAATCCTTGCCGAGGCTAAACGCGATGGACATAACTGCCCGGACAGCACGTCTGGTCTTTCTGCAAGTTTGAACAATATGATTGACCTTGGTCGGTGGGTATCAGGAGAACAACAAATTCTGAGATCGCTCCAGCATGAGTCAATGTACATGAGAGAATCAAGAATCGACCAAGCTCATACCAATACGTTTGATTGGATTTTTAAGTCGGACGACTCTGCGCCCAATGATCCTCAAGAGAGCCCCGACTTTATTAAATGGTTGCGAAACGATACCGGTATATACTGGATCTCCGGGAAACCAGGCTCGGGAAAATCTACGCTCATGAAATTCCTGTGCGCTCATCAGAAAACTGAAACCACCTTACGTCTATGGGCCGTTGACGAAGGCGCCTCACTTGCCACGGCAAATTTCTTCTTCTGGTACGCAGGGTCGACGATGCAGAAGTCTCAGCAAGGTCTACTCCAGTCTCTCTTGTATGAGATACTTGGGAAATGCCCATCACTAATCCAGACGGTCGCCGAGGAACAATGGAACAGAATCTACCATGACGGGACCCCTGTCTTACCGTGGACCCGAGCGCAGCTCTTCGATGCACTCAGGAAATTGGTTCACACCAGTGCATTACCTATCCGCTTTTGCTTCTTTGTGGATGGGCTTGACGAATATGATGGGGATCACAGTGAGATTATCAACATGCTCAACATGCTCGCAGCCTCCGACAATATTAAATTATGCATTTCAAGCCGCTCTTGGAACGTTTTCCAGGACGCTTACGGAAAGGACCCTCAGAAAATGCTTCGCCTCCAAGATTTGACAAGGAATGACATAAGGTCGTACATAAAGGGTAAGCTCGAAGAGGACAACCTACTTGCGAACCTTCAGCAAACGGACGCGCGGTATCGCGATCTCATAGAAGATATTGGAGACAAAGCTGATGGAGTATTTCTCTGGGTCGTTCTGGTCGTTCGATCCTTGCGACAAGGCATAACCAATGCGGACACCGTTCCTATCTTGCAGAAGAGGCTTAGGGAGCTGCCAGCGGACTTGGAGAGCTTCTTCAAGCATATCTTGGACAGGGTTGAGAAAGTGTACTGGGAAGGAACGACACAGGCATTCCAAATGGCTCTCGCGGCAATTGGCCAACTCCCCTTGTGGCTGTTCTCAGTCCTGGACGAGGAGGATCCCGACTATGCAATACAGGCTCAACCTCGAGTACTTTCGCAGTCAGAAGTCGACACCCATTGCGAGATACTGGAGAAACGCTTAAGCGCTCGGTGCCAAGGTCTACTTGAAGTCAGGAAAGCTCCAATGACTGAGGGTGATATATTCTCCACGCACAAGGTCGACTACATGCACAGGACAGTGCGTGACTTCCTTCAGCTTCGCGATATGCAAGACTGGCTCGGCCAGCGACTGGAGACACCATTTTGCCCGCACACGGCTCTGTGCACAGCTCTCCTTGCCCAAGCCAAGTCTTTGAGCTTTGTCAATAATGAGCTGTTTTTTCACATACTGGACGACGTCACGTACTACGCAGTCGAAGCCGAGAGGCGTAACCAGCGAGCGCAAACGGCCCTCCTCGACGAGATCTCTCAATTGATTTTCAAGGGCCGACTGCTTCCATCACCACATCCATATATGTTCCAAAAGCCACTCCTCTTATACTTTGGAGAGAAGTTACGAAAGGATCCAGATATCGTCCATGCCAACAACCCGTACCCGCCACTCTTAATCGCCTCAGTGCCATCGATGGTGCATTCCAAACACAGGGTACACGCCAGGATACACGCCAGCGTTGAAACTGTCGAGCTGCTTCTCCGTTTCGGTGCAGATCCCAATCAGAGCAACCAAACCGGTACGACATGGACCAACTTCCTCAACCATATCTGGAGCCATCCGAACAGCACAGAGGAAGATCGGCAACGCTGGTACGCAATCACACAAAAGCTCCTCCAAAGGCGTGCAGAGCCCAACGCCAAAGTCAGGGGCAATGATGCCTCAAAAATATATTCAGAAGTATTTAATGAGGCGGATGCTACGGCATTGAAAAGCATCGGGCGTCGCAACGAAAGCAAACCGATAAAAAAACCGAGCAAAAATACCATCACGGGACCTCCCCCAACCGAACAACCAAAACAGGTACAGGAAATAACGCAGAGAACCCCAAAAACACGTAGAAAGAGGGCCACAGAGCAATTTTTATCGTGCTTTATCAGTCAGTACTAATCCAGGACTAGAAACATGGAGGAATAAGAAAGGCTCTTATTTTCTATTAATGACATTATTTAGTTTCTAGTATTATTGATTTCAAACCTAATTATAGCCCCTAAGTACTTATAGCCTGTAACCTTAAGCTTATAACTAAAATTCTCTAATTAACATATTTTTTCAATAGGCAGCTACCTATATATAAGGGATATCTCAGTCGCCTCAGGCTAAGCAGTGTCAAGCTTAGTCTAAAAGCGGCGCTGCTCAGGGAGTCACGCGTTGTTTCTGGCTAGGTAGCTGCTTTGTAACTGCGGTGCATTAGCAGTCCAGCACCGCTAAGTCACCGTCTCTAGCGTGCCCGGTGTGGTGGCAGAGTGGGTAGACTCCCGTCCTGGCGCCCGAATCAGCAGGGGCTTAAACCGTGTTGGCTGCCCAGTCTTGGGCTGCCACACCACCCAGTGATACCGTATTCAAGGTTAGGTGATTCTAGACTATGGTACAAAGGAACCTCTTATGGACCATCGGCTCGTCGAGCCTTGTGAATTGTTCGCCTTGGAATGTTCTAGCCACAGTTCTTACTGGAAGAGCTGCATGCGCCCAGCCAATGCAAAGGGGACTGCAAATTCCCATGCGACAACCCCCACGAGGCACAAGTGAAACTGACAGAAGGCTGTGACCTAGCGCGTGGCTTTGTGACTCGATCAGATGCCAGCATTAACAAGCCCATACACGGCTTAATAATAGCACACACGGAACACATGAGTGATGCTGATGCACAACAAGGAATATCGCTCCTGACATTGGCTCTGTGCCATTAGTCGACGCCGGGGTTATTATTCAATTTGGGTCGTGGATTATTTGCCATGTTTTGTTTGAGAGAGGTAATAAACCTATGTACGTGGGAGAGTATTAGCAATATAAGCCTTGATAGCCGAGCAAAATGCCACTACATACCACCGCAAATCAAGAGCCTACTTTTATATGATATGAATAAAATCAATTATTCCCAAAACTCGCCTCCCAGTTCAATAGAGGGATCCTGATAACATCTACATCGCTGACAAACTCTTCGACAAACATAGTTCTGCATGTACAGGGTAGGTGTATCTGCACACGAAGCGCTGAATCTCCATCATACGTCACGTGTGGAGCCCTTCCCCTCGGATACAGACGGATGTCCTGTGTGGATGCGCATTCTAAGAAATGCTAACGCAAGAAATGTCAATTGATCCCAAGCATCAATTGCTGGCCTTCGTTTACGAACTACGCTAGTTCGGGTCCCTTGGTGAATTTCGGAAGTGACCTGCGATACTCGATAGGAGCTTCACACTGCGCTTTCTCTCCATCGCCCACGAAGCTCGAGACAATAGTGATGATTCGACCAGCCGCAGCCCGTCGGGTCATCCCGCGGACACGATGCACACAAACCCTCCGTTCCTCCCCAGCTGCTGCGCGACGGACCTTTCTCTCATCGAAGAGTTCTGTTCGCGCGACGCAGGACTTTGATTTGAACAAGCTCAACACTAAGCGACGAGACTACGAGCACAATCGCACCGCCTTCCTTATTGCCGGTACCGTCGCTGGCATCAGCTCATTCATATACACTGCTTTCAAGCTAAAGGATGCCTTGAAGGCGGAGGCTGAGAAGAGGAAGAACGAAAACTCCGCACAGTGCGATGCCCCCACGATACCCAAGGAGCAGTTCAAGACGGAGGCGGGCGAGAAGCGCAAAGTTGTCGTTCACGACGAGGACGGCCGGGAAATCGTGCCCACAGGCAATGGCGTTGTACCGGCCTTCCCTCGACTCCTCAATGTGAAATTGCCATCCGAGCAGACACCGCAAGGCCCCATTGCGGCGTCAATTTCGGACAACGACGGAACCGAGTTCACCCTGGTTGGGCTCGGGACCCGCACCGTTACCTTCATCGGCATCCAGGTCTACGTTCTGGGCTTCTACGTGGCCACGCAGGATGTAGCCAAACTGCAGAACTACCTGGTGAAGAGTGTCAACACTCTGGCTACGACCTTGATCCCTTCCGAGAAAGAGACTCTGCGCAAGTCGCTGTTTGACCCGACCGAGGGCGAGGAGACGTGGGACAAGATTCTACGGGACGCTGGATGCCGCACCATCTTCCGCATCACCCCTGTCAAGGATACCGACTTCCACCATCTCCGTGACGCCATGGTAAGAGCTATCACGGGCCGATCGCAGCGTGACGCGGAGCACTATGGTGACGAGCAATTCGGCGCCGCCCTGAAAGACTTCAAGGGCTTGTTCAACCGCGGCTCGGTCCCAAAGACAAAGGAAATCCTTCTGAGCCGTGATGGAGCCGGCCAGTTCTCGCTCATGTTTGACACATCTGGCAGAAAATCCCAGAAGACCAAGAAGGAAGTTCTGGGCGTCATATCTGATGAACGGATATCCAGGCTCCTCTGGCTCAACTACCTTGCCGGAAAGAAGCCTGCATCTGAGGAGGCTAGAACAAACATCATTGACGGAATTATGGAGTTTGTAGAGAGGCCCATCGGCACTGTTGCCACTCAGGTATTGTAATACCTGTGGGAGTTTTCACTCCGGATAATGTAAAATTGTACAACACTTGGAAAGCTGAATCCACACCACTTCAGTTACAAAAGAAAACCGACGGCCTGAATTAGGCAGTGTCAATTTATGTAGCCTACACGATCTGAAAACATACAAATCACTAGAGGCTTGCTATAGAATTAAACATTCTTGTCATTTATCAAGGTTGAGAGTTCTAATCTTCTTTCCTTTCATAACTCAATCGGCCATGACTTTATTGATACCGACTCCCGCAACTTTCCGCGTCTCAGCTAGGAACGAAAACGCTTGCTGCATTTAGAGCTTGAGCGAGCCCGCATTGCGGAGGAGGTTCTCCAGCTCGCCGGCCTTGTCCAGCCTCTGGAGGTCGGAGTTACCTCCAATGTGCTTCTTGTTGATGAAGATGTTGGGAACAGTGCGCTGGCCGCTCAGGTCCTCGAGGGCATCCTGCAGGGCAGAGCCATCAGCTGCAGGGGAAGGTATTAGCAAACCACCTCACCCGCCAAACATTGCCAGGCGAATGCGTGGCAGACACGAGAAACTCACAGTCCTGGTCGAGCTCAATCACGAAAGCATCGGCCTTGAGCTGCTGAAGCGTCCTCTTGGTGCTTGAGCAGTAAGGGCAGTACGACTTCGAGAAGACGACTGGAATCGCGGGGAAAACGCGCAGATCGTTAGCGGGAGGGGTGAACTCAGCAGCCACCGGGAGCGGGAAAATTCGACTCACTAGTCGAGTGCTCGTCGATGAGCTCTTTAACTCGGGTGGATGCTTCAGCCATTGTGATGTTGCTTGCCGAACCAAATAATTTGTTTCCAAGGGCGCGAAGAGACATGAGGGGCAGAGGAGAGTGGGAGTTGTGGGCGGGAGGATTATTAAGTAAAGCGGCAATCCGGGTATTAGCTGAGATATGATGTGCGAGGAGATTCCGATTAGCAATCAATCAGTCCGCTCTAGAGGCTTCGGCTGGGCTGCTTTTGGGTAGAATATCCATTGGATCTACAGGCGCGGCCGGCGGGTGTCTTAAATAGCCTTTGTAGCACGCGCCGAGGCCTGTGGAAATGGCTATGTCATAGCCCGCCATCGCCGTCACTTCAGAACTTCAGATCTCAATGGATAAGGATATTTTTAGGGGCTTTTTCAGGGTGCCATGCAGTATAATAGGCTAATCGGCCGGGGCTGGCATGCAGCTTTTTAGGGAACAGTGCCCGTCGTTTTGCCGCAAACAGGAAGCGGCAGTTCGTGGCTGTAAGATCGATGAAATCTGCGATCGCCTATCGAGGTTAGACAATGCGATAACCGTACGATAGACTGATCCAAATCGTCTATTCCAAGTTACCGGGCGGCGCAGGGTGTGCACATACCACGAATATAAATACAAGGCGATCTTCCTCCAGGACAAGGCTTTGGCGACTGTGGGGGCGACTCTCAAGTGATTCCGCAGCGCTTGCCATTACCACAGCACCTGATCTAGATGACGTCTAGTACTGTGACTACCGTTCGCCTAGAGGCTTACGCCGGCAGTGTCCCGGGACGATAAACTACTTACATACCTACTCAGAAGCGCGCCATCTTTAGCGACTTTGCGCTGCGTGAAATTGGATCAATGCAGGCGACGACACTGGGTTCAGTCAGGCCGGAGCACCGACGATCGCCGTGGCCTTAGAGGAGTCATGCTGATGCGATATGTTATACGCCACGTCGTGATAAGAGAGTCATGGATAAGTGTCTAGTGAGTGCATAGCCCTCTACAGACAAAAGCAGCCAGTGAAAAGGATGGGATTACGAGATGTCGTTTGAACTTGGGCTTAGGCATTCACTCAGGCTGTCAGTCAGAACGCAATGGTCTGACAGAGTGTTGCCACTATTACTTTCAACATCACAATCGAAACACCATCAATATCGTTGTTACTCATCTTACCGAGCATGGCGCTGCAAAGGACGGAACAATGCGGGGTGTGTACATGCTGCGTGCTTGGAGCATCGAAGCTTCAACACGTATCTCGCTTGTTTGGGAGGCTTTGGGGCTAACGACAGACCGGTTGCCGATCTGGATGACATATCGACACCGCTAATCTGAAGATCGGCACGAATGCAGCAGGAACAAGGGCCATTATGCGCCAGAAACCAATATGGGTGTCTTGTCTGGCTGAAACGCAACGATATTGGGCCTTTATTAACTGTGATGCTGAGGATGAAACCAGGGGTTCGTGTTATTGTCTAATGGTTACTTGTTTGCTTCGCTTCGTTGCCGAGTACCTCATAGTGAGGGCTATTCAATGTTATCATCCCACAACCGATTGATCGTCATGATGCAGGGGCGAATCCCACACAGACTAGATGCGCTGGCCTTGCGTGTTGTTTGCTAAGTTCGTGGTCTGGCTTTAGGGTAGTTCGAGCCGGCGGCGATATTTCCAGGGTCCTTCCAGGATATCCCTGGCTGTGGTGGACTTGTAACCACGAGACCTCACGAGGCGAACAGCGTCTAGGACGGTCCGCCCTAGACTGACATCACGCGGAGGGACTATCACAGTTCGCTTCCATTCCTTCGACCTCGGATGCTGGACAGAATCCGTTCGGAGCCTTCCATAGGAAACAGCTGTGTTGGGCTGGCTGCCTTCTCCCATGGGTCACGCTCTCGTTGTGAGCTGACAGTCAGCCTTCCTCCGCAGAAATCAGTCAATTCTCAGCCATTAAGATCAATTTAGTCGATAGATACTAGCATAGTCAAGGGGAGGCTCGCATAGACCCGTTCATTGTCCATGGCAGATCTAAGAACCCCCATGCCGTTCATCGGACTTTCCAGCTCTGGCAGGCGGCGTTTGTAGGGTCATGTATCACTAACAAGAGATCCATTGTGCTTCTAGGGCCATGCAAGTGATGACTTAGCGTCGGCTAGCGTTGTACCGTACGAAGTACCCCAAGTACCTATAGCAGCCCGGGGTAATGGCGACTTTGAAAGCAACACATCGGGTGGTGATTCTGACTTGGCCACGTTTACATTGCCATTCTAACACGACTTGAATTGGGCATTCGTACGGCAGTTTGTTTGATTGGCACAGCACCTGGATGAATGATTCGTGACAGGCGGGATACTAGGCTGATTGGGTTGGCAGGTGGCACTTGGTGCAATATTACCAAGCTTAAGGGACCCTTATTGGGGCCAATCAAGCGAGGGCGGCAGGTACTTCTTCGCCTGGGAGCATTTCCCAAATTCGCCCATTTCCCCCTATGAACTGCCTGCCAGCGCGTCCTCCCCCCTTCTGAAAAAAAAGAGGTGGTCAACTGGCTCCCAAAATCCACTATCCTACATCATTCTTGTTCTCCAAGTCACCCCCCTTCTGCCCAAAAAAGCTACATTGTTGGTTTTGCATGAGAAACCACACATACCCCGAATGCAGTACGGCACGAGCTAGTCTGACCTGCGAACATCTAGCCAACGAGACGACGTCAATCCGCCCATCGCCCCCCGCCCTGCCTCATCTCATCCACTGGACACATCTCGCCGTCGACGCGCCCCCCACATTGCCAGCTCAGTCATTCGCGCAGCGTTTTCCTTTGGTCCTCCCACGGCTTCCCGTGGCCAGAAGATTCCACCACCAGGGAGTTGCCCTGGAGTTTCTGTTGTGATCGTCTCTGTGCGTATCTCGGCTGGACCGACCGGACACCGCCTAGGTACAGCCTTCGCTTGGTGCAACCAACCCATATCGTCGGTGCTGCAGACGACTATTGCAGTCCACCGAACCTTGGTCCAACACCCTGTTTGTAGTTGCTGCACAAAAAGGTGTCCTACCCTGGGTCACCTTCACCCAAACCGACAAGGTGGATTCCAGACTGCCCATAGCGGCCACCTCAGGTGCCTTTCAAAACTTGACGTCCTACCTCAACGAGACTCTTCTCAACTTCACCACAGCATTCCACGGCTCTGGCGAGTACATCTCCGAGTCTTTAGGTGTCCCTCCTAGCGTCATCTACGGCAGTGTCGCTGCCCTCGTCGCACTACCCCTCACTATGTCCAGATACTGGCCTAGCCGCGGGTTCTCACCATACGACACCCTCCCCGCTGATGCACCCGACGTGACGGACGAGGACTTCAGCTACATCACCTCACAAGAACTTGACGACCCCAGCCTGAGCGTTCCTGTCGACGCCTGGCACCACCCACGCACGTACCGCCGCGAGCGCGAACCGGAGGACGACGTTCTCCTGATCAAGAATCGGAGTGTGACATATCCCGCCCACTTCCCCGCATACTCAATTGGAGACGGCAAGTTGCTTGTCATGGATGTGAAGGAGCGAGTTGCCCTCCTGATGGACCTGCCAGACCGAGTCTCTCGCAAGGTCAAGCTCCTCTACAAGGGCAAGCACCTCAAGGACCCTTCTGCTCCCGTGCGAGAGTATGGCGTTAAGAACAAGAGTGAATTGATGGCCGTGGTGCCCGAGGGTGAGGATGGTAGCAGCCCATCAGAGGGGGAGATTGTAAATGTTGTCGACACAAGGAATTCGAGCAAACCACGCCGCAAGAAGAAGGGCAGCAAGAAGAAGAAGGATAGATCCAGCGGGAATGAGGGCGACACAACCACCAGCCCACGCGACAGCAATTCGAACTTCGATCCTCCAACCTCTCCGCCTGCACCTTCAGCCCCCATTGGAGGGGCCCAACCTGTTGTATCACCACTGCCTCCTCGTTCTGGAGCAGCTGCGGGCCCCCTGAAACAGCTCGACGACTTGACCGAGGAGTTTGAATCAAAATGGCTGCCGCTGTGCAATGAATATATTCAATCGCCTCCTTCTGATCCCAAGAAGAGACAGGAGGAACATCTCAAGATCTCGGAATCCGTGTTGCTGCACATCATCTTGAAAACCGACGGAGTAGATCCCGACGGAGGTCCTGATGTCAGACCTCGCAGAAAGGGATTGGTTTCATTTGCCCAGGACGTATTAAAGATCATGGACAAGGTCAAGGAAGCTGGCCCTAAGCAATAACGATCTAATCACAACAGGCGACGCAAGCTCGCCTACCACATCTCGGCGTTCTCTATGGCTCTATTTGTCATTTTTCTAATTTATATACACAAGAAGCTTGTGCGTTCTAAAGAGCGATGCAATGGTTTTCTTCAATATACGTTCTCACTTCTTCTTTTACAAAAGAATGGAGTTATTAGGTCCCCTCTGAGCGGGCCGCTACAATACCCTCTTAGCAATCCTGGGAGTGGTCCTGTATATTTACTTGAGCGCCGGCTTTACTTGCCGGGCCTGCGATCGTCACGACTATCACGACATTTAAATGGAGAGTGGGCCTTGAAGATTGGATAGACTGCGGACAAAGATGAGACAGATAGAGAAATCAAGAACTTGGGCGCTTTCGTTTTTCGTTGGGAGCATTTCGATTCCTGGTGTGGGTCAGTTCAGCAGCCAGTTTGCCAGTATTAGCATGGATTTCTACAATTTACACTCAACTCCACCGGCGATCTGCATAGTTAGTGAATGCAAGGCCCGAAACCTACATGAGTAGCCGGTAGGTACCCGTCTAGGGAGCATTGAGAACAAAGCCAAAGTAACGCTGCCTGTAGTTCTTCTAAGCTTTCTGGCGTTCGCTGGCCATAAGCCTAAAAGCGATGAATGGGTGTCGATCGGGACAGCAGATCTATGCCACTTTCTGCGCCAAGCGTTGATGTCATTCCTTTGCGAAACCATTCCTCTGCCTCACTTCTAATAGTAGTATACGAATTGGACGTCAGTCCACCCCGGACAATTGGGTTGAATTGATCAACAATTAATCCTTGCATCGTGTTCTTGCCTCACTTTTCTGACCCGTCTTTGACACGACGATCAAGGGGCACTGTGTTCGTGTCTGCTTTGGTTGGATGGGTGGATATGAGGATAATGGGAACAAGATCTACAGCCACGTATAGAAGTTCGCCGTCGCGATGTGTCCAACTCGAGTTGGATCATACCGAGGGGTTTGTTTTGCAAGGCCGCAAGACCTGCAGGACACTCCACGCGGGATGCTCATAACGAGAGGGACAGCGATAAGTGTGTAAATGCCCTACCATGGGCAACCGCGGGGAAAGCATCCACATTCACTGGATCTATGTTGACGATGGTATACTCCATAGAATCTTAGACTTCTTAGCAGAGGATGCACGGGAACCAAGAAATTGCTGCTGGTGGCACAATGCGGAAAAGCTGCTGGTGCTACAATTTGGAAAGGAAGCAGGCAGTACGCATGTGACAGTAAAGTTACACTCGTAGCTGTTGAGTAAATGCGCCCAATCGCATCATTCAATAGCGATTACTGCTGAGTTGGTCATTCCAAAGGCAACCATGAGTTTCTCACAAGCCCGGAGATCTAAACAGGTCGCGGGACACCACAGGCTACTTAAAAGCTGTTGCAGTAGCTTGGCATCCATGAATCAAGCCATCTCAAGCATATATGCGCTCTGGAAGTGTGCGGCTTCCATAAGTGACCCAATCACCTAGGTCACAGGGCTACGCACTAACATAATTGGCTGGGACAATGATTCTCATGGTCTGAGCCTGGGCAGGCATCAGGGCAGCTCGGTGTACAATCGCTCTGATATCATTGTCTAGATTTAGGTACGTACCGTCGCATTATTTGCACTTCACGTGCGGCCTTGTGTCTGGCTCCGGGCCACGGCTGATCTCCGGAGCTGGTGCTAGGTCTCAGAGCCCTAAACGCACCAAGTGCCCAGCCCTCTCTCGCTTTCGAGAAAAAGATGCCCTTTCTAGATTAGGCTAAGCGTCCTCTTACCCAAGGCACAACCAGCCCTTCGAGCGGAACTTGGATTTTTTGCCCGTCCCATATATCGCGACTACTTCACCAAACCAACCGGGACGACTAACCCCTCCAGCACAGCAGGACAGCAGCAGATTCTCGCCGGGCCGTTCGAGAGTTTGCCAGATATTCAGCTGTGACTTATACCATTTCATTCTCTCATTTTCCAGCAAGTGAGAAAGGGCAGCACAATGTCGTCGCAGTTCGAGCAGGTCGTGAGTACTCACCCACAAGTCCTTTCAAAACAGTCATCGAATTGTGCGAGAGGGTATCGAGATGCAACGGAGCCAATCACTCGAACAGTCTCTTGGTTCAATGTATCGACACGGAATGAACTGAGCGACAGGCTTTGTGTGACGGACAGCGACGGCGCATCTCGACATCTTCACTTTCTCGAATTCCAAATATGGCTTGTGACTCGAAGAACATCTGGCTAATTCACTTCTCTCACAGGTCGTCATCGACGGCAAGGGTCACCTCCTTGGCCGTCTGGCCAGTATCGTGGCCAAGCAGCTCCTTAGCGGTCAGAAGATCGTTATCGTGCGCGCTGAGGCTCTCAACATCTCTGGAGAGTTCTTCCGTGCTAAGCGTACGTCCCGACCTCCCAACACTTGCGGATCGATTCCAATCATGGAGACAACGTCTCTCTCGACGACATCAATACCGCACTTTTGCTAGGATTGTTGGCTAACGAATGTACAGTCAAGTACGCCGCCCACCTCAGGAAGATCACCCGTTACAACCCCACACGTGGTGGTAAGTTTATGGCAGGAAACCCATCCTGAAAACCTGCGAGATGCTGACAACCGACGCTCAGGTCCCTTCCACTTCCGTGCTCCTTCACGAATCTTCTACAAGGCCGTTCGTGGCATGATCCCCCACAAGACTGCCCGTGGTGCCGCCGCTCTCGAGCGCCTTAAGGTCTTCGAGGGTGTCCCTCCCCCTTACGACAAGAAGAAGAAGATGGTCGTTCCCCAGGCTCTCCGTGTTCTCCGCCTCCAGCCCGGCCGCAAGTACTGCACTGTTGGCCGTCTCAGCCACGAGAACGGCTGGAAGTACCAGGACGTTGTCAGCCGGTATGTTTATGCAACCCAGAATTATGAAATGACGGTGTGGGTAGGATTTTTTTACTGACCGTTTCAATAGTCTGGAGGACCGAAGAAAGGCTAAGGCTCTTGCCTACTACGAGCGCAAGAAGACCGCTACCCGACAACTGGCCGAGGCAAAGAAGACTGCCGGCACCAAGACTGAGACGACCCAGGCCCTCGCTGCCTACGGCTACTAAATTAGCCATCTCTGACCAATCCCCGGAGCTCGACATGGAATTCCTGGTGACCTGGTCATTGTCCAACATTTCTCATGCGTTTCATTAGATCGGCGCGGCGGTTTTCACAAAGGGATTTACTTGATTTTGCTGCAGGGTGATGGGCAAAGGGCGGCGGCGGCTGCGACTTTGGACCGGGTGGATTATGGGCTGGATGGTTGATCAAAACAGATGCATTGATGTCAGTGAAGACCTCACACATGGTTGGAACGCCATCCCGAAATAAAGCACAGAAACCCAAAAAACAAATCAAGATCATGACGCATGAGGATATTGGAAAAAGAGAGGTTGCTGATGATGTGCTGACGACGGGGATGGGCCATCTCCTTTTCGAGTGCCGATGGCGAAGTGATTCTGACTGCTGGGGAGCCCTTGTTGGGATTCTCCGACAGACGGAGTTGCTTTGGTTGGGACTCATCCCACATGAATTGCTCTTTTTTGCATTTTTGGATATTTAGGAGTAGAGAACAGGAAAAATGAATCGTAAGTAATTGCTTCTTCCACCTACAACTGTCCTATGAAATGTGCACTTTATACCATGGCCCCCAGATCCCATACTTCCATCGTAATTCTCAATCGTTTCTGCTCTTTATGCATAAGTTATGTCCACTTGTGAAGCGAGATCATTGGGTGTTCGTGAAATAATAGGTGGGCTAAGAGCACATTCCAGCGTACTAGAAAAGGTCCAGAACTCTATATCCACAAGGAATCATATCTCGTATAAATTAATTAAGCCTACATTGAAAGCATCGTGATCACTTTGAGCTCGACACTGAAGAGCTACAGCCCTACATCAAGGGTTACACCGTCATGCGGATGTGTGCGGTGTCGCCTCCCCCAGTCATGTGCCGATAAGATAAGGAACGCCAACTTTCTGCTGAGGTGTCCTATTCTTGAACTTTTGGGTCTGGGGGCTTACAAGTGGCTCGAATCCCCGGCCCCGGCACTTGTAGTCTCATTCAACGACCTCCGTGCACACTCTTTTTCACAATTTCTACGGATTGCTGTCTCCCAGACAAAAGAATCACACAGTCTTTACGCATTGGCAATTACAAAGAAGAGAAGGAAACCAAAATCAGGAACAGCAAGTGCGCAACAGCAAAGAACCGGTTGATCTTGTTCAACCCAACCTAGCTACCCGCCGCCAACTAAATTAAAAAGCCAACAACCACAAACCAACACCATGTCCGACCTAACGCACTTCGACATGCAGCCCATCCTGATGGACCCCAAGTCCAAGGCCATCACCGCCGACCCCAACGTCAAGGCCTCGCGCGCCCTCGCCGCCGAGCTCGAGCTCCTCAACACCCTCCACCGCGCCCTCGTCACCTCCGACTCGGTGCCCCCCTCGGGCGTGCCGCCGCCCCCCGTCCCCGTCAACCCCAAGCGCGGCGCCAACATCACCAAGCTCCGCGACAACGGCAACGCCGAGTACCGCAAGGGCCGCTACACCGAGGCCCAGAAGCTCTACTCCCTCGGCATCCAGATGGCCCTCGGCCGCCCGCTGTGGGAGCCCAGCGCGCTCGTGCGCGAGGAGCTCAGCGGGCTGTACTCGAACCGCGCGCAGACGCACATGGCGCAGCAGAACTGGCCCGAGGGCGCCGTCGACGCCGAGACGAGCGTCGAGGTCAAGAAGATTGGCAACGCCAAGGCCTGGTGGAGGAGGGGCAAGTGCCTGCTGGAGATGGGCCGGCTGGACGAGGCGGCGTCGTGGGTGCGGGGCGGCCTGGAGGTCGAGGGCGAGGAGGGAGAGCTCGTTGCGCTGTTGAAGGAGATTGAGGCCAAGCGGGAGGCTCATTAAGCGAGGGGGGGTGAGATTGTGGAATAACATGTGGTATGAGGGACGTTATCTTTTCTAATTGGCATTGTCATGTTGTTTTTTCATCTGGGATTAATTTGCAGGAATGGGCTGCCCTAATGCTGAGCCGGTCATGTGTGGCTGGATAAGCTATTGAGATGTATAGAAGGAGCTGAGGCTGGCCTTGAAGGAAAAGGAGCTTAGACCTGCTCGCGAGGTCCAAAAAGGACAAGGGTTTCTATTCTGGCTGGGCAGAAGTTGAAATCTAGCTACTCAGCACATACTCTGGCGTTAATTGAAATAAATCCATGCACCAGTGGGTGGGCAAGCGACTGAACGGAGTTTCTTCCTAAGATTGAATTTTACATCATTTTCTGTAATGGGTATCAGATGCAAATTCCTCCCTGAGCTTGATATAAAACAAAAAGGACGATCATCTCATTGCGTTGAGTGTTTTTGTATCTCATTTCCTCCGGAGGCCTTCGTGGCCCATTTCTCATGCATAGACTTTCGTTCCATTCCGTTTCTCAAACTCTCTTTCTCCCTCCCAAAATCATGCCAGCAAAAGCGTTGAAAGAAAACAGACAAAACCCAATGTGCCGCCCTGAAAGAAATCCTGGTATACTGTATCCTCCCGCCTTCGGCAACAAATATCAATCCTCCGCCAATTGGTCTAAGAAAACAAGAACGCCATGGCCAGTGGTCATGTTTAGAATGATTAAAATGCAAAAATCGGACATTCATCCAAACGGGATGAAAGTCGACGAATAGTGGAGTCCGACGAGTATTGGCCGTGGGGACTGGAACCGACGGAGCTCGTGGTATGTATCGTTTAGCCCTTTCATCACAGCTTCCGTACCCAAGAGATCATCAAGAGATCAGGTTGTCGTTTGTCAGTGGTCGAAAGATCGTCTGGGACCTTTTTTCTCTGCATGACGCCGAAAATACGCTTCAACCTCGACGAGTTTATAGCTTCTTCTGCAGGTTTGTCAACAAGGCAACCATTCTATTGTGCCTTCTCATCGAGACTCTTGTTGACGCTGCTCTTGCCTCGTGGGCGCATGACGGCATCCTGACTGCTCATTCGGCGGTCGAGAGCGCGGTCCAGCTTGGCACCGAGGGCGAGCTTCTGCATAGAATCCGTCTTCTCCTCGCTTAGGACGACGCGCTGGGAGGAGAGGGCCTTGTTCTCCATGCGATCGAGGCCGGTCGCAATGTCGCGGATTTCGTTGGTAGCAGAATCATTGGTTTCGACGGTAGCGGCGAGGGACGGGGCAGCGGCACTGTAGGTGCTGAATCGCAGCGAGGCACGGGTCTTCGTGCGGGAAGTTTGCGTGTTAGCTGGCATTGTTGCGACAACGCGGTTTATGGTGAAGGCGTGTCGAGTCGGGTGTGGCAGAGAGCAGATCGGGGGGATGCTCGTCTACTTCTGGTGCTGAAGAGGTTCAAGGGGCTTGGGGAAGGCGAGCAGGGCAACTGAAGAGCCAAAGCCGGGCCAAACAGGCGTTGTGCTTGCCGTAATATCTGTGCTGGGGAGGGGTTCGTGGAAATTGAATTGGGCTTGTCTCAGGCAGTGATGGAAATTGGAATGTAATGCAAGTTGATGCGAGGGAGACAGCGTCAAGACAGCCTTGGTCAAAGACACAGCACAGATCGCAAATTGCAGAGATACGGAGCAGGACTGATTGACAAGAGGGTTGAAACAAAGAGGCGGCGGCAAGGGGAGGAAAAATACATACTGATGGAGCCATGATGGGGCGGGAGGAGTCCAGGGATCCAGGCATGGTTGACTATGGATGACACAGGCTAGAGCGATCTTACCAACTGCGTAATGGTCGGGTCTTTTGACGGAGAATGGAACGGCGGATGACAGCGATGAGGGTATCCCGATGAGCGGTTTGAAGATGGATGGATGTAGGTCAAAGAGTGCGAGTGCGCAAAGGGTGTGTGCGTGGTGGTGTGAAGTTATTGGGCGTGGACGGTCCAGGGCAGAGAGGAATCGGGCTTCAAGTTGAGCTCAGGCGCGCTCGGAGGGGATTTGACTCTGGAGATGGTGGCCGGGGGTTTGGCGTCCTTGTGATGGGAGTGGACCTAGGGTGGTCTGACGACGGCGTGGGCAACCTTGTGATGTATTTCCGCTTGGTCTGGTCCTTACCCCGTTGAGGGTCGGAGAGGGCGATGAGCGTTGTTGGCTGGAGAGCCGTAGTCAGCCAGGGAACGACGGACGGCCCTAAGGGACAAGAGATGGACCCTAAGAGGATTAATCTGGGACCGCAGACGTCAGGCAGGCGACCAACGGGCAAACAAGCAACAAGGTGCAGCAGGATAGCGGGTTTGGTTGGGACCAACGATGCTTCTAATTAAAGCGAGGAGAGAAGAAGAGCAAACAGCGCAGTTAAGTTCTAGGATGGGAGAGCTACTCTGGATAGGCGTGGGCGGACCAGGCTAACCAAGGGGACCAAGGGGTTCCAACGGGTCTGGAAGGCTGCTGTGGTTGGCCCGTGCCAGCAGCCCGGTGGAGGCCTGAGACAGGGGACAGGGGCCACAGGAACGAGCTGCACCGGTGCAGGCTCCAGCGACAGCCCGTCTGTAACTACCAGCTGTGCGAGGTGCTGGGATCGGCAGTCCTGGGAGGCAGGCAGGCGGCTGTCAATTCCCCAATTCTTACCTGCCGCCCGCTCGTCCGTCCATCGGCCGCTGCAATGGACGGCAGGGAAGGTAAGGTAGCCCTTGAGGTTGCCCTCGGGGGATCTGTCCATGCAGCGAGCACGCTGGCGGTGCGCACGTACACACACAAACATTCGCGCACGCCACAGCCCACAGGTCAGGTCGGCTCTAGGGACGGCAGCGATGTGCCTCAGGCGGCTCCTCATTCGACAGGTTTCACGTGGTTGGTGGGGGCTGGACTCAGGGGAGCCCTTGCCATGTGCGCGCTGCAGCTTGCGTGCGTGCCTGTTCGCAAGCCAGACATACATGTACAGCAGGTAGCAACTGCCCGTCATGCCCTGTAGCACGGTACGTACATGCTGCGTAGGCGTCCAGGCAGGCGCAAGGAACTGCGACATCCGGTCAGACAGTGCGAGCAGCCCCCACAACGGAAACACTGACAGATCTAAGGCCTAGGCCTGGGCCGCGGCTTAAGTGAATATTACGAGACCGGCAG